TATATAAACTGGAAGTCTAAGAACTATCCAGAACAACTTATGTCTCTGGAGACCTAATTGTTTGGAGGAGTTCACCTCCTGGTAGGAGTATCACTATCCTGGAAGACCTGGGTTTAAAATGGTCTCAATCTCTTTCCAACTGAATACCCCTGGACAAGTCACTTACACTGAATCAGCCTCATTTTTTCCATCTGCAAAAAAATACTAATTATCTCTTTTTACACTGTCATTGTTAGTACCAAATAAATTTATGTAATAAATAAAAGCATTTTTTTATGGCAAGACAATGAGAAAGAATGACATGTTATCACATGTGCCAAACACATACATATTCCTCCCAGCTGTGTCACAAACTTGCATGACCTTGAGCAAAAACTGTAATCTTTCTGCCACTTCTGTACAAGTATAGAGAGAAAAGAATAAAAAAACATTTCAGTTATCACATTGCCCTAACACTATCATAACCCTGGTTATAGCAGAGAAGTAAAGTTAGGCTCTGACTCATTCTCACTACTATAACTATTAATAGCTCTAGTATGTATACATATATAACCTACTAACCAAACTAAACAAGTACTATAACTAACTAACCAAACCAGGCACAAACTAAGTCAGTCACACATAGTTTGATAGTTTGTGCCTGGAAGAGTTCTAGCCACAAGCTAAGGGCCTAATATATATCTGTTGAATGAATGAATGCAGCGAATATACATAAAAGTTAACTTTTCTGTAACAAAGTACATGTACAGAAAAAAAAAAGAGAAAAGAAAAAGGGAAAGAGACTCCAAATTACTACTGTAAGGTGAAGACACACACACAGAGTCTAACACTGTGGTTACAAAGTACAAGCTGAAGCCAAATTTCAAAGGATGTGCCCTAAGATAAGTACTCAAACAAAACTAGGAAGAAACTCTCTCAGCAGGTAACGGTGAGAAAAATTTAAAAAATAAAGCCCCTCCTGAAACAAAATCCCAATGTTTGTGCAATATTGAAAAACGACTCCATGAAAATGTCAATATTGCAGACTATCAGCTTAAATAATTGAAGAGAAGCAGGGGGAAACTGAGTCAGACAGAAGAATTTGCTTAGTTTTCCAACAGCAGCCTTTGCTCAACTTTGGGCTGAAGAGGTCATGGAAATCTGCCAGCCCTGGCTTTCTGAAGCTTCCAACTAAACAGAAAAGTTGGAAATTCAGATTTTACATGAAATCGCCCAGTCTTTAAGTGCTGACAATGAATCCATGCAGATAGAGTCAAAAACAAAGAAACATAAAAACCTGATGGACTAGTGGATCCCAGTACAAAAATAGAAATGCAACAGAAGATCAAAGAAAGGATGTGTACTGGGAGCCAACACTGCCCAGCTCTACTTTCTCTACTTTCTACTTTCACACTTATTTAATCTACATGTAGAACTACATATCAGTAACGTATGACCCATTTCATAAATTAAAAAAGATTATCCTTCTAACAAATATTTTATTGAAGTTCTGTGATATGCCAGGAACTGAGCCAAGTTTTAGAAACACTGTATAGTGGTAAATATGAGCTTGCCATAAGAAATCTAAAAGCTCAAAAGCAAAAAAAAAAAAAAAGAGAGAGGACAACAGGTGCACTGATGCTTTCTAAGAAGTGTATGGTGTGCGTACATGACTACAGGGATGAGTAAGTGTTTCTTCTAAGTTACTTGCCCAATTCTCAGGCCTACATTTAAGGTATTATTTTGATTAGTCTAAAAATAAAAGAATAAAATATTTTTTCCTAAGGTCTGAAGTTCAGGAAAATGTTCTAGAAAAAAAAAATCCAGAATATTCTTCTTTACTTAGTAAAGTAAAGCCTTTGAGACTGGAGGAACTTTAGTCAAGACAGTCTCAGGAGAGTATTCTTTTACGGCATTATTGGGCTATATATAATGGCAATCCTCTGAGATCAAGGCTTTGAAGAATATCCTACCTGTCTCACCCCCCTCTAGTACCTGCCCGACTACCATTTTCACCCTGATGGCAGATTGTTGCTTTGTTTTAAAGGCTACTTTAAAGAGCTGAGGAGGCAGGAAAGAGCACAGCGTACCTTAAAATGCCACAAACTTATGCTTCTACCAAGATTTAGTCCTTCTCTTGACTGTTCCCAGAACTACTCCAAGAGTTTGGTAAATTTCCAGAGTCCTGAAAAGCTGATTCTTATAATACTTTTCACTTTTTTTCATGACTTTTATGGAAGAGAAAATTTTTGGATATCTTTACTAAAGAATTTTTGCTAACATTATGTCAATGATCTATATTTCAGTTAGCTAAATTATCTATTCATAAATGACTCAACCTAATAACAATATATAAAAAGTACAAGCAAATTTTATTGAAATTGCCTGTGCTTTTATCTTATTTTCTTTAAAATATAATTTTAAAAGTTTCTTCAATTTGCATTCGGGTGAGTTTAACACAAAATGTAACACCTGGATTCCACACACATTCCTCATACTTGGATAAGTGCACATTTCACTAAGTTTTTCTAATTTAATTTCTTTTTCTTCTATACTAACACCAGGCATTAGCAGTGTGGTTATATTAGCTAGTGGTTTCAAAAGAAACCACTCAAAAAATTACAAGCATTTTGAAAAAAATACTCTTCAAAAAACTCTGAACAAAATTAGCAATATACAAACAATTATAATAGAAATGAAAAGTAAGGACGAGGTTTTTAGAATGCCTGGAAATAGCTCATTCCCGAATCAAAAGATAATGTTTTCATAAAGAAGTCAATTGTGCTTTATACAGAAATCACATTTAAAACTGAGTCATTTCCCTAAAACTATCTAGCTGCAACAACAACTACATCAGATTTACCCTCACAGTTACACTCTGTCCAAACTTTTCTGAATAACTACTGAATGGAAATATGAGAAATACAAAACTAAATTCAAAGAGAATGTGACAAATTTTCTGAGGCTTTAAAAAATTTAATTTTATCCCAATATGTCAGCCTCTTCTCAGAAAGGGCAATTAAAAATATTTATGCAATAAATCATCTTTGATATGTGAAAAAATACAGAGAACAAAATATATTTACAGGTTCTCATAGATGGAGGTTAGCTAGACATATTCCTGTATAGGAGGTGTACTTAAAGATGAAAGAAAGAAAATAACTCAGAGGTGGCCAGTGAGGGGAAGAAGGAAGAAAAAAATGGAAAAAGGAAGAACATAAGAAAAATAAAAGACAGATTAAGTGAATACCTTTATATTGGCACTGGCTATACTGAATACAAAACTGAGTGTTTTTATATTCAATTACAAATTAAATAAGAATTTTTTTCACATGGTTTACCTTCATGTTTTAATATCATAACAATCTATTTGTATTACTTTATTTATATTATACCTCTAAATGTAACTACAATATTTAACAACCAAAAGGAAATACCAACTTAATGAAAAAGAGAAAGCACACAGAGATGAGGATGTTAACATATGTATTATTAGGCATTAGAACAATTAATACTACTCGTCCTATTTCCAGGGCTTCCCCAGTGGCTTAGTCCTAAAGAATCTATCTGCAATGCAAGAGCCTCAGAAGATTCAGGTTCAATCCCTGGGTCAGGAAGATCTCCTGGAGGAGGGCATGGCAACCCACTCTAGTATTCTTGCCTGGAGAATCCCATGGACAGAGGAACCTGACGGGCTATCGTCCACAGAGTCAAAAAGAGTCAGGCATGACTGAAGTGACTTAGCACACACATCCTATTTCCACAGAAGTAATGTTCTAATGTGCTGCAGTCCATGCAGTTGCAAAGAGTCATACATGACTGAACTGAACTGAATGTTCTAAATAAAGGACAAATACACATAAATGGTATATTCATCAAGTGGAAAAAGATTTTAAGTTTTGGTTATTTTGGTTGTTATAACCAGTTTCGCTACGATATTTGATTACTTAATTACATTGAAATTAACCTTCAAGGTCATATGAAATATTATTAGTATGCATAATTTTAAAAATATATTCATGTATATACTATATAATTTTTAAGTATTCAAATTGTTTAAAGTCATTAAGTAATAAAAATATTCCATCAAAGTCTACATTGTTTTCAATATAACAGTCACACAATACAGTTAATGCTTTCTGTGTAACACAATGATTTTATGTCACAGTATTATACTTATGTTTTCATTCTCCATCAGATAATAAGAATGTGGTTTTCAAAAAAAAAAAGAATGTGGTTTTCATTAAGCAAAAGATATGGAATACTTTTATATAATATGTGTTTTTAGATGGTTAGCATTATAAATATTATCAAAATGTTTATATTTTAAAACGCCTTACCTAATTTTCACCCCAAAGACTTTATTTTTAATGTATACCATACAATAATTTACTAATTAAAACAATGGTGGGTTATAAAAATCTTCCAATGAGCATCTTTTCTGAAAATTCTCAATAGAGAAAAATTCAAGAATTAAAAGAAAACCTTTGAATGATGACTGATGATATTAATCACAATGGAATTCAAAGGAATTTCTTATAATATTTTAATTCCCTAATGTAGTGAATGAATCATAATAAACTGTTCCCAGTGTTTGATTCAACACTGGTCATTGATTGACACATCAACTTTTACTTCCTAAGTCAATACAAACAAGCTAAGGGCATATTGCAGCAAATCTCTTTATTTATTTATTTATTTTCTTTTTCAGATGAATCAATTCTAAAAATGTGTTGATTCCTTCAACCTAAAACTCTCCTAAATGCTGAAAACTTCACATTTTTTTAATAGAGAAACATTCAGAGAGGAAAATAATACATTTGTTGTTCATTCACTAAAATCTCTTCTCAATTTCCCTGCTTTCCCCAATCAGACCTAATTTGAAGTCTCCTCCTTCTTCGTCACATATACACTCCTCTTTTCTTAATGACAAGAACGTCCAGAGAATACAACTATACAATATTAAAGATGATGGCTACTCAAGTAGTTTAAGCTGTAGGAAAAATTTCAGAAAGACTTACCCCATTTTTTGGAAAAGCAATCCATCCCAAGTCCCCCATGACAGTCCGTGAATCCAACAAATTCACTAAAAAAGAAAGAACACAAAGCTGTGTGAATTATACAAAAATATATCACCATTTCCATAAAGGGATTAAAAGCACATATTGTTTCCATAACTGAAAGTAGATTAAGTATTCATTATGATGAATACAAGAGTGACAATTTAAAGAAAGCATTATTAGGATGCAAGAGAACAAGAGATTTTGAATAACTATTTGGAGAACAATTATAGCAAAAGTATACAAACAAGTCATTACTCTAAATGTTCTTTTTTTTTTTCCTGGTCAAACAAGAATAAAGGGAAAGAGTTAATAAAAAAAAAAAAAGAATAAAATGAAAGGTCCACAGGAAACTCAAAAGGACCATGTCCTTATTTTTAAAGACTATAGGTCTTGGGATTAAACTGCAGCCATAAAGTTGCAGCTAAGTATACTCTATTTTCTTCTAGAAAGCTGTTATGAAGCAATTAACAAATAATTTACATTAAATAGCAATAAACTATTCCCAAGCTTGTAACATTTTTGTGATATTAACCAAAATCTGTAATCCAAATTGCAAATTTAATTAAGAAATAAATCTAGAGACACTTTACCAAGCTTAGAAAATTGTAGCAGTTCTCAAGGTTGTTGCTATAGTTAAGTGCCTGTTGCACTCCCAAAGATACTTTCTACTTATATACAACCATAATCCAAAATGTGTTTCTTACAGAACTGTTGGCTACATTTTTGAAAGACATATCTCAATTATGGCTGGATACTTTAAAATATTTATGATTCCCAAGACAGAAGTCATCAATGCAAAAGGAAGGAATGTAAGAGTATGTACACACACATATACCCACACTCACACTCACAAACTTGCACACACACACACACACACATACATACATAGATAGATACTCAAGGAGTTTATATTTTAACAGGTTTATCACCTATCCCTATGAAATTAAAGTAGTTTTGATTTTTCCAGTAGTTATGGACATATGGACGAGAATTGGAACATAAAGAAGGCTAAGCACTTTTGAACTGAGGTGTTGGAGAAGACTCTTGAGAATCTCTTGGACAGCAAGGAGATCAAATCAGTCAATCCTGAAGAAAATCAACCCTGAAAATTCATTGGAAGGACTGATGCTGAAGCTCCAACACTTTGGCCACCTGATGCAAAGAACTGACTCACTGGAAAAGACACTGATGCTGGGAAAGACTAAGAGCAGGAGGATAAGGGTGAGACAGAGGATAAGATGGTTGGATGGCACCACTGACTCAACGGACATGAGTTTAAGCAAACTCCAGGAGATAGGGAAAGACAAGAAAGCCTGGAGCGCTGCAGTACATAAAGTCGTAATGAGTCAGAATGAACAACAACAAATGGTATTAATGTGGTCAAATGTTTTAGACCTAGATGATAGAACATTATCTTTCAAATATATTATACCTAAACTAAAAGGATCTACCTGGCATGCTTTGCAGCTGAACCACTTTGAATGAGGATGGTAGTTGCACCCAAAAGAAACAACTAGGCTAACCCTGGTCAGAGCTACTGAAGCTTCCTTAACTGCATTCAAGAGTCAATATCTTATAATGCCTGCAATTCTCAAAAAAATGGTTCATGGTGGGAGTGGGAGGGAGTCTCAAGAAGGAGGGGATATATGTATACTTGTGGCTGATTCATACTGTTGTAAAACAGAAATCGACACAATAAAACAATTAACCTCCAATTAAAATTGAAAAACTACTCAGGAAAGAAATAAATAAAAAGACAGTTTTATCTGCAAGGGTAAGCCTAGGGTACTAAGGGTTTAACAACTGATAGACTGAGAAACGCATATAAAATTGTACAAGAGAACATAAAATAAAATTATTATGACCAAGGAAATCTGGATCATAGCGGAAATGGAATGTTCCAATGTCCTACAGAAATTATGTGCATTTAGCACTTATTATGAGAAGGAAAATGGCAACACATTCCACTATTCTTCCCTAGAAAATCCCATGAACAGAAGAGTCTGGTGGGCTACAGTCTGTGGGTCATAAAAGAATCGGACATGACTTAACAATGAAACAACAACGACCCTTATTATCCATTGCTTTATTTCATATTACATATGCAAGCATACATATGTTACACACAAAGGTAATAGTCTATATTAAATTATTAATGCAAAATAAGAAAAAACTTAAAAAGCTTAAAAAACACAGATATACTCAATACTGTAACATACAACTGTCTATTTTCATTAAGTTCTGAGCTCTTTAACAATAAAAATGCATGTCTACAGAATGCTTGTATTAACTTAAACCTACATACAATAAGGTTTTTTCCCTAAATTATTTATATAATTTGCAGAATAATTATTGCTTAGAGGAAATTGACCCAAACAAAAAAACTGTTGTTTTAAAACAACAAAAACCAAAACCAAACAAACCCAAAATATTCCACCACCTTCTAACCTTGCAAACCTTCCAGTCACCCCACTAAATCTAATTTTTCAGGTATATTTGAATTTTTTTCTTTTAACTCTACTGTTGGCTCTTTTGGTTTCTATGGGAATTAGGCTACATTAAACTTAAATGTCCTTGTCCTCATTTTAGTCTTTTCTGGGTCACTAGGGCTGTGTCTAGACATGACTAAATATCAGGGGAGTGCAGAACCTAAATAGTTCTGTTTATTCATCTTTATGAGTCATTTTATTCACTTTTGATACTGAGCAGTAGCATATCTGTTTGGACTAAAGTAGAGCAAATGAGCTAACTAAAGGTGTTCTACTGTGAAGGCAGCTAAACTGAACTTAATTATGTGACGACAAAGGAATGTGCATAAGAATTCAAGGATTCCTAATTAGCCTGCCATGAGAAACACAGCACTTTGTAAACTTCTTAATATGTGCAATTTGAAATATTCATTATTATCAACACAATTCCATGTGTCTAAAATTTAGTTACTCTCATTTGAATTAACCTTAATCAAAATGACTATTTTTACACTTTGTGGTTTAGAAAATATACATATATGAAAATAAATGAATGACCTCAAAATAATAGCTCTGCTGCTAATATCATTTATTGGGAGTTTTCAATATTGGGACGTGTTACTGAATACATGAAAATAACTACAATAGGAATGCATGCTGCCTTTCTTTTGCTGGTCTTGTCAAAAGATTTTCTTCAAATAAATAGATTAGGAGGTTTATGGGAAATACATGCATGTCACTTTTCAGTGCTGCCTAAAATTGCTTTCCTCCTAGAAACAGATGATTTCATAAAATTCATAATGCAAAGCACATATTTACATATACCATTTTTACTGAACTGGAAATTGAGGGAAAAAAAGAAAAATTAGGTGTTTTAGGTAATTACCTGCAGACTACTATGTTATAATTTTGTTCATATAATGCAGAGTAAATTGGAATTTGATGCCTCAAGGAAAATAACTATCTAAAATTAGATCTACATACAATTAGATAGAAAGATAGATACAAATAGAGAGTATGAGAGTTTTCGCAAACCTCCAAGTTTTGCACATGCTGCTTTAGCTCTCTCAAATACCCTTCTCCCTTTGTGAACTGCTAACTCTTCATTTGTACTTCAAAACGTATTTTAGAAACTGCCTTCCCAGGAACCATCTCTGATTCTCCTTTTCCTAAATGTGGGTGAGGTAATATTACTGAATATTTCATTAACACCCAATTCTAATCTCCGAATCATGGAATACACAAAACTGTTTTGTTCCCTTAAAAGAACACCATGTTTTTACTCACGCCTATGAAAATAGCCTGCACTCAGAGCATATGTACAGTTGTCTGTTTTATGAATGGATCATTTGGTCAATGGGCAGATCAGGAGGGTGTGGCTGAATCAACACACACCAGTAGTTTTCAACATGGGTATCTAATAATGTCTAGAGATATTTTTGATTGTCAAAATTGGGAAGTAGGGGAATATTTTCTACTGGCATCGCATGGTTCTGAAGAAGCCAGGCATGCAACTGACTAAGTAAGCATCCTTCAATGCACAGCAAAATTCTCCTACCCTCCAGGAAAGACTTATCTGGCTCAAATTTCACCAATACCAAAGCTGAGAGACCCTAGTATACACCTACAGTGTTACTATAAAATGTCCACTTCCACAATTCCTTGCACAATACAGAGGCATGATCTTCATTAACAGAAGTTAACATATTTGGAAGAATTCCTTATGAATCAAAATACTACTCCTATCTAGGGAAATGAAAGCAATAAAAATTATAGCCTCATTTAGAGAAAAAAAGAGCATTATGAATACCCAATACTTCTAAATTATTTTAGTAACCAATGTAATAATTATTACAAGTGTAATTATTTACATTTTAATAATTTCTGAACATTCATGATGGTATGCATGAAAAAGTTTTATGCCACTAATATTATCAGTGCTTCCATATCCTCCATTACTTAAGCTACTAACATAACACCAATTTAGACATAGGATATAAATAAATATGAACTTTCAGAATTTCCTTTTCCAATTTCATTACTGAATTTATTAAAAAAGGGTTTGGCAATAATGGAGCCCAGTCTTCTGTACTACAATTACAGTAATTAAATTGCTCTGAACAGTATATATGCTTGTTGTAAATTGCAATGAATACACAATGAGTATTGATCTTCATTGTACAACTTAATTAAAACTTGTCCAGGAGAAACCACTAATGAATATAATTAGAGGAAATGTTTGATACCACATTTACTCTGAAGGACATTAATTAGATATCAGAAATTTTATGGAAAATGTTTTTATTCAATTATTTAGATTTTACAATAAAGCCACACTATCAAACTGAGAGAGTCTTTAAGGTCATTTTCCCTCAGTCACTGTACATTTAAAATGAAGATGGGCATATTGGTTGGTACTCTAATCAGTAACTAAGAAGACTGATTCTCCAAGAGAAATAACTCTACAGAGGTTAGTAAGTATTCAGTCTACTGCAAATACCTAAAGTTATCACGGGAAAAACAAAGACTCACAAATATAGGAACTTTTTAGTAAG